CCCCCGATCTACCTAAATGCGTCTATGTTCGCGCGAATCATTCATGATCCAGCCTCACCTACAGAAGTGAGTATAAGGTTTTTTCATGAATCTTTGCAAATCACCTTTCCTAATAACGTGCTAGTTAGCAAGTTTCACGATGAATGCGGCTAAAGTTTACCGTCTCAGAGAGCGGCTCGGAAGAGAGGGGCGGGGTCAGCAGAGCTCATTTGCATTCAAAGCAGCATGCACTAAAATGGCTTGCTCCGAGAAGAGCTGTTTTTGGCAAGGTGAAAAGGGTGTTGTTTTGCGCTACCACTGAGAAAATTTAAGCAAAGTATGTTATAGTCTTTTCATTAAGACCCTAAAGAATCATATCAACTTGAGGAAAATGGGCATCCGATGATCCCTTTAACCGCCGGTTGCACACATCCACCATGTTTGTAGTTTTTAAACACTTTTTATTTGTGTTTGTAGTGAAACTACAACCTTCGCCAAAGTGCAATGGGTTGTGGGCAATATTAGTCATTAGAGTGTGCACAGATCAAAAATGGAATTAATAGACCATCAAGGTGCCTTTTGGCATAGTCTTTTCAACATACTATGCTTTGGGACACATCTCACATGTTATTTAGCATAGATAGTATGCACATTGGGATGCAGGGATTGTCTCTGACAGACAGCATGTTGAAGCCACTCAGGTCGCTATTTTCTCCTGCTCAGAAAGCAATGATGCAGTCAAAACATCCGGCAGAGTTGGTTTTCCTGAGTATTAATTATTAAATATATTAAAGGTATTAATTATTTATTTCCTAGCTGGCAAGTAGTCAGTGAAGTGATTTATGCCCGTGAGAGTGTTATTTAAATGTTTTTAGTTTTTGACAGATGTGATAACATGCGTAAGAGGGGAACTATGTTTAACTTTATGACTTGTTATTCAAAGACTGACATGTTTGTCTTGTCAAAAGTTATTACAAAATTGTTGATTTTTGAACATGAAGTAAATTTTTTATCAAGAAAGGTGTTGTTTTGAAGTTGTTTTTATTGTCTAACTTTTATTAAAACTCATACAAATGCAGATTCGGTTGTAAACATCCGGCAGAGTTGGTTTTCCTGAGTATTAATTATTAAATATATTAAAGGTATTAATTATTTATTTCCTAGCTGGCAAGTAGTCAGTGAAGTGATTTATGCCCGTGAGAGTGTTATTTAAATGTTTTTAGTTTTTGACAGATGTGATAACATGCGTAAGAGGGGAACTATGTTTAACTTTTGGATAATTATGACTTGTTATTCAAAGACTGACATGTTTGTCTTGTCAAAAGTTATTACAAAATTGTTGACTTTTGAACAATCATTTTTTATCAAGAAAGGTGTTGTTTTGAAGTTGTTTTTATTGTCTAACTTTTATTAAAACTCATACAAATGCAGATTCGGTTGTAAATTGTTTTAAATAAATTCAAATGTTATGATCTGTTTTTAAACAAATTAGTTATTTTAGTCCGTATTTTTGTGAGCAAGTAAATATTCACCACATTCTGTATTACTTTGAGTCAAAAGTCTAATTATATAAATATGTGTTTTCTGTAGTAATCTTTATATGTTGCATTCAAACAACTATTTTTAAAATGATGTCCTCAAAACTGCAATTCGTTATCATCATATATTTGCTATATTGAAGAAGAAGTGAAGGTGGATTTTAATTTAAAGGTTGAATAGGACAAGAGTATTTTTTTTGGGTAAGGTTGCTTAATGGCAAATTTAATTGATAACTTACCCCTTATTGTGTGACAACATTCCCAGTTTTTTTCTGGGCAATAACAGTGGAAATATTCAGTGGCAAATTAGCCATGACTTTAACCAAGACTTTAAGGTACTGTATGTGCCAATTCAGAAATTGATGTACCCTGACAAAGTCTAATTATATAAATATGTGTTTTCTGTAGTAATCTTTATATGTTGCATTCAAACAACTATTTTTAAAATGATGTCCTCAAAACTGCAATTCGTTATCATCATATATTTGCTATATTGAAGAAGAAGTGAAGGTGGATTTTAATTTAAAGGTTGAATAGGACAAGAGTATTTTTTTTAGGTAAGGTTGCTTAATGGCAAATTTAATTGATAACTTACCCCTTATTGTGTGACAACATTCCCAGTTTTTTTCTGGGCAATAACAGTGGAAATATTCAGTGGCAAATTAGCCATGACTTTAACCAAGACTTTAAGGTACTGTATGTGCCAATTCAGAAATTGATGTACCCTGACAAATATTCTCTGGTGTTGGTCTCCAGCATTTTTGATTTACTACACTTAAGTTACTGACCTTTCTCTCTTGTCTAATTATGAAAAGCTGGCCACATTTGTCAATTGCAACAGCAATGGTTTAAAATCCAACAGTCCTCCAAATTAAACCAGAATAAAGTTTCATTTTATTAACATCATATGAGTGTTAATTCAGCGGGTGAAATTGAGACACTGCCCAGGATAGTGAAATAAAACACTGCCCTGAATGTGATATTGCTTTCCACATAAATTACGTTGGTTAGGCAAATTAAACAGACAGAGATACTGTTAGATGAGGAACAGGTTCCTAATAGTTTGATTGGGGACTGATTAATAAAACAAGACTGCTCCCAATTGCTTTCCAGGGAAAAAGCATCGACTGCTTGCAGGAGTAGTTCCAGCTAAAAGTAAAAAAAATAAAAAAAGTTCTCCGTTTATTGATAGATAAAGACTTCTCAGCAACTTAGTCTATTTGTTTTCACTGTAAGAAAATATGCATGTTGTTTATAGCTGTGGTTTAAAATAGAAACATTACTAATGACTGCATGGTGGTTTGTGACCCAACACCCTTCTTCTACTGAAGAGCCCAGGGGAAAGGACTTTAAAAATCTTTAGACCTTTGTTATAAAACCATAGGTGAAGGAGGAGAATACAGGAGACAAGCGATTATGGAGCAAATTACATCAGGTATCTTTCTCACACCCACTTTCCCTTTCACACACACACAAAATGAAACTAGGGGTGATCAAACAGCCCATATAATGCCCCCATGTATGGGGCCGCCTGTGGTCCTGTCAAGGGCCAGCAGCTGGGGGACGGAGGAGAAGGCAGAGAGGGGGCGTCTGACCCAGGGTCCAGGTTCTGAGTACTTTTGCAGACAGGTTGGCTCCAGTGGCAATGAGTCATGGCCGTCTGTCTATGTTGCCTGCAAGCTGGCCAAAAGGGTCTTATATTTTATCATGATGCTAACCACTGCTTCATTCACTTACAGAGTACTGCCATTTAGCCTATCCAAATCTATGCCTCATTCCACAGCCACTGTGTAGGGAATGGGCTGTACTGGATATAAACACAGCAGACTTGAATCAAATGCAGAGAATTCGATCTCGTGTTGACACGCTCCCTTTAAAAGTGCTCAGATTTAAAGGGGTCATATGATGCTATTTTAAATATCATTATTATGTGTATTTGGTGTAGCAGAATATGTTGACATACTTTAATGTTCAAAAAACACATTATTTTTCAAATACTGTACATTATTGTAGGTCCTCTATGCCCCGCCTCTCTCAAACGCGTCGTTTTTAACAAAGCCCCCTCCTTTGACAAGCGCATTCTGCTCTGATTGGCCAGCTGACCCAGTGCATTGTGATTGGCCGAACACCACAAGCACGCGTCGGAAATATAACGCCCTTTACCATAATCAATAGCTTCAGCTTTCAAAGTAAATATCAAGACAGTTAATAATGTCGTTAGTTTTACCATCAGTTCAAGCCCGAAAGGGCAACAGAGTCGCGTGACAGACACAGTGATGATGCAGTACACAAGCCGCGGTTAAGACAGCAGACGTGCTATGATTTCTGACAGGCAGTTCACTCTCCTGTGATGTGACCCTGTTCCCCTCACACACACACACACA